TCATCAGCATCTCGCTTATCTAAACAGTGGTCACACTTTCTACATATCTTAATGCCTGCTACTTTAGGAGATGAAAACATGTCTAATTGCAATTCACACAAAATAAATTTTATCAACTCCTTTTTACTTCCCTTGTCCTCCTGGCTCCCACGTAATTGCTGTCCCTGTTCTCAGCTGCCCTCACTTTTTCACCCATCTTGGGTGATAATTATAAAATTCCAGTTCAAATTAACCACCTTGTGGCTTAGATAAATCCTAGTTGGAAGTACAATTTGTCCCAAATCAGCTGGGCAGTTCAGTGGGTAATTAGTAATTAGTAATTTAATAAATTTGTATGCCGCCCAATCCCGGGCGGCTTACAGAAACAAGATAAAAAGTTAAAAAGTTAAAAACAGAAAAATAAACATACATTCCATCTAGGTAGGGCTGGACCTTGTTCGTGAAGTCAACAGCCCCAGGCCTGCTGGAATAGCCAGGTTTTAGTGGCTTTTCGGAAGGCCGAGAGAGTGGGAAGGGTCCGGATCTCTGCGGGTAGATCGTTCCACAGGGCCGGAGTAGCTACAGATAAGGCCCTCCCCCGAGGGGCCGCCAGCCGGCATTGTCTGGTCGTCGGCACCCGGAGAAGTCCCAACCAGTGAGTTCATATCGGCCGTTGGGAGGTATGTGGCAAGTGGCGGTCTCTCAGATATCCATGCCCTAAGCCATGTAGGGCTTTAAAGGTGATGACTAGCACCTTGAAGCGCGTTCGGAGAGCGATAGGAAGCCAGTGCAGCTCGCAGAGGGAGGCGCCCTCCATGCGAGCCAGCTTCTGCGACACAGTTGGGTTTTTAGGTCCCAGACGGTTTGGTTGGCAGAGCGGGTGAAATCCTCCCGGCTGTGGGAAGCGGGACTTATCTCAATCTCTCTCCTTTCTTTCTCTCTGTCTCTTTCCCACTCTTTCCTCAATCTCTCCCTCCTTCCTTTCTTTTTCTCCATCTCTCTCAAAATTTCTTTCCTCTCTCAAGCTTTCTTTCCAGATCTCCCTCTCTCTCAATCTCCCTCTTTCTTTCCTCAATCTCTCCCTCTTTCCTTTCTCTCTCACTCTCCCCCTCTCACTCTCCCCCTCCCTCACAGCCCTGCCCAAGAGGATCGCTTTCATCGGGTTGGGGAGGCGAGTTCCCCCCCCTTCCCTGAGCCGGGGAGGGGGAGGCCGAGGACTCCCCCACCACTTCCAGAAGCTCCTCTCCCGCGGTTGCGTTTAAAGGCAATTGAGGAAAGAGGGGGAGATTGAGAGAGAAAGAAAAGAGGGGGAGGTTGAGGAAAGGGAGATTGAGAGAGAGGGTGATTTGGAAAGAACGCTCGACAGAGGAAAGAAACTTTGAGGGAGAGACGGAGAGGGTGATTTTGAGGAATGAGTAGGAAAAAGACACAGAGAAAGAAGGGGGAAAGATTGAGAAAACTCCTGCTTCCCACAGCCGCTTCACCCAGCTTCTTACCATCTTTAGTAGGGATTTCGAGCTCGCTCCGTCCGCAAAGCCCAAAGGAAACATCGCTTCTGTCTTCGCCGCCTCCGACCGCCTCCTTTTATACCGTCCGCTCGGCTGTGGGCGGAGGGAACGAAAACGAAAACGACAGCGAAAGGCGGAGGCGACGGGAGAGAGGAAGGGTTCCCCCCCCCCCCCACCCCCCCCCCCCCCCCCCCCCCCCCCCCCCC